TCGGCCCGCCCTGAGAAACTTGGGGTATGGTTTTTCATCTACTTTCTACCATGACAATAAACATCTTAAGACTATGGACTATTTCTTTTCATCAGGCCTTCCTCTACAGAACTGCCGTCTAATCTCTAGCAGAAGACCTCTATGCATTCCCAGCCACAGCGACCACCAACCCAAGCCAAGCAAGCCAATGAGACCAAGCCAAGAACACAGGGCACAGCCGGAGCTTCTATCCCCTTCTCCTGCTTTGGCCACAGGCCAATCCAGCCTGTGGTTCCCATTTTGTTCTCGGCCCTTCCACAGCTCCCATCGGCGCCTGGGTGTCCAAGAGCCTGAGAACCAGATGATCCCTGGCCTTGTCGCAGGCCCGGGGACTCCCAAGACAACTCCAGCAGTCCCCATGGACCTCAGACTGCCTTCCCCACCCCCAGAGCAGGGTCCTGCAGCTTCCCATAGCCCAACGCCCGCCTGGCCCAGCCCGCCCTGCCAATGTGGAGTGAGCACAGTCAAACTTCCCATGGCTTGCCCCCCTCCCTGAGCGGCCAGAGCCCAGTGGTGAGCCCTCCTCACTTTAACCCAACAGAGAGCCATGAATTAAGGTGAACCTGGGATATATAGTAAGTAGCATGCCTATAGAGTTAGGCCTTGTCTCAAAAAAAGAAAAAGATCTGATCAAACATAAAACAAAAAGAGCAGTACCCACGATGGAGTGGGGAGGGGGGAACTGAGCAAGTGAAGCTCAGGAAGGTTTATTAGGTCAATGCAACCATCCACTTCATACCTCACAGTAAACACACGGTACTGTGCATTTGTCAAGACTCCCAACACCAAACAGCACTGGATACATGTGCTTCTGAAACATAAATAATCATACATAATTTTATTATTATTGTTATTGTTATTATTAGTGTGTACATGGAGTGTGCATATGGGTCCACATGCCACAGCATGTACATAGAGGTCAAAGGACAATGTTTTAGCATCCGTTCTCTCCATCCACCTTTCTGTATATTTGTGGGATTGAATTTTTGTCCCAAGCTATTGGAGTAAGGAGATACCCCGCCAGCCCCTAACACATCATTTTGATAGGGAGAGTCTCTGGCACGAAATGAAGATGTGTCAATATCTATACTATAAATATATAAAACCATTTCCCTACAGGATACGGATGGATTGCTGACCCAAGTACTTTATCAAAGAATCTGAGACTCATCACAGAGGAAACTGCACACAAGCACAGTATTCTACAGAAGACGATATTTTGCCACTAGGCCTAAAATTCTAATGTCACTATTTGTGTATCCTAAGAACGAACAATTTAACAATGCTTGGCTCCTCACTGCTAGATGATAGGTGTAGATAATCCAGGACAATAATAGAAACATCCATGTGAGAATGGATTGGGGCTCAGGAAAACAAGTTTGAGCTTGTGTTCAATTTTACACGGGCAGTATCGTGTTTGTTCTACGTTGCCAAAACGGAGTGTTCAAAGCTTGGGTGCTTTACTACAATGATCGGCTCACAGTTGGAGAGGTTTTGAAGTCCAATATGGAGACGTTCCATCGGGCAAAAAACTGCCAGATGTATCGTTATATGATAAAGAGTTAGTGGGCAAGGGGGCCCCAAATTGCCCTTCTGTAAGGGCAACAATTCCTTCTATAAGGGCCCAATCACCTCGCAATGCTGTTCAAACAACATTTCAATTTCAGCATGAACCAAAGGGAGCTTTCAAAGCGGAGCAGGCAGCTGAATACAGCTTTCTCCTTGGTGAGCTCGAAGCCATATTTGTATCACTATGATGCGTCAGCTGAGAGATCATAGAAACACTGGCATCCCGACACTATCAAGCACATTAAACCAGAGCTCAGTCTTTTAATATACTTTCCAATAACAGAATTAGAAGCATTGGCTAATCCCAGGACTGAATCAGGAGCTAAACAAAACAACTCCAGGGTATTTAGTGCCACTAGAAAGTAAGGACGTTGTAACTCATTGCCCATGCCCAGAGCTGAGATATCAAATGGACCCCAGAACCAACGGAAAGATCTTCTAAGAGCAAAGACAGAGCAAACTGGGGAAAGAGAGTAAGTCAAGTGATGATGATCTAGAACTCACAGCATGAAGTAAACACTCAAGAACTCACACTGGGATTTATGAACTTAGAGGGTTGATTCTTCAAAGTTCGCCTCTGAACTCCACGTGCACATCCCACCTAACCATACATATGTACAACGACAAGAAGAAGCAACAACAACAGCAGCAGCAACAACAACAACAGTAATAGAAAGAAGTAGAGAAACGGGCACAATCGAGGAGCCTAAATTGGTATGTGACAGCTAAGCATACCGTGGTGCTCTTAATAGTCGTGAACAAAAAGAGGACATGAAAGGGGATTTGGGAGAAAGCATGTAAATGAAGCATAGACTTATACTAACCGATAACATGACAATCCAAGCTCATTACTTGTGCCAAACGTACAATGTTGGAAACAGGAGAAAGTGGATGCAGGCTAGAGTGTATGGGAACTTTCTGTATGGTTTCACAACTTTGCTGCAAAGTTAAAGTTGTTCTAAAGGAAAAGGAAAAAACAGACCCTAGAAGTTTATGTGGCGATTCCAAGCCAGCTTAGTTCATTCTTCTACTAGGTCTGCTAGCTCCACACACGCTCAGGGTTCTTTCTGTGCCTCCCCATCTCTGCTGTCTGTTTTAACTCCAACAACTACAACTCCTCTAAGTCTTCTAGCAACACCAGTGTTTGTCTTCAGTCCGTGTGGTCCCCTCAGCTGAACAAACTCCAGCACTTAGCTGGACAGCTCTCCCCACACCCCTTCACCCTTCTGTTGCTGTAGCTCTCCTACACGTCCAATGTAGGGAGAGGTCCTCAAATGGCTTCGTTCTGGCTCAGTGTGTGGTTTCCAGAGGGAAATACATGGGTGTGGAAAGAGCCTTGCAAACCTAACGTCAAACGGGGAGACCACCGCATCTAAAAGTCCACGGGTGTGCGCAGACTTCAGGGAGTTCAATTATAATTCCCACAAAAATTAAAGAAAAAAAAGTGAGAACTCAAAGTGTGGGTGCTTAGCGGGCTCGGGGGTAAAACAGATGCACAGCATGAGAATAATAATATTAAAAGCTTCCTGCTGAATCCTAGGCTAGTGCTAAGTCAGTGACCTGAAAGGCCCTGGGACAGGGAGGGCGAGGCTGGTCCGCAGGTGTGGTGCTGGTTTGCAAACTCACCCACTGTCTCCTAATTGCTTCAGATAAGCAATATTTGACCTAAAGAATCCCTTTTATTGCTTCTTTGTAAATTTCACATCAGGCACCCCAGTCCCACTCATCTCTCCCTCCCCTTAGACCTACCCTCCACCCTTGCAACCTCTCCCACAACAAAGGGGAAAAAAATCTCATTGTGGAAGGTGTAGTGTGTAACAGTGGGCATTCCTCGGTATGCCCTTTGATCCACTTCTTTATTTGCAAATGTTCATTGCGATGACTCATTGGTCTGGTTTGAGGCCTCTGGTTTCTGGTACTCTATCAATACTGGAACCTCACTGGGATTCCTCTTGGATATCCCTTGGTTTCCCTGTGTCATGGAGATCCTATAGTTTTGAATCTGTAGGATTGGCCTTTTATTGCACTTTAGCAGTTCATTGATGGGGTAGATGTTGGGGTGGGCCAATTCAAAGCCCTGGACTGGGCCTGATCCAGGTATCTGAGTTAGTCAGTCCACTGGCTCTCACACTTTTACACCCTTGGAGTCTGCTCACCAGTAAACCTGTCTACCCAACCATCTCTATCCTGCTACCCAGACAAGGTTCAGGACCTGCCCTCTCAAGTGTCGTAGCCGGTGAGGGACAGCGGCAGTTCTCTTGCTCTCATTACCAGGGCCAGCTCTCTCGCCTTCCATAGGTAATGAGGGAAGAGAAAGGGAAAGAAGGCATTTTTATTTCTTCCTTATCCATGCCACCACCCAGCAGACAAGAGGCAAGGCTGGTTCTCCTGAAGCTCCTACGTCCACAGCTCGACTGTGCTCCCCAGGTGAGGGACAGGGACAGAGCTCCTCTCTCATGACCTTAGTAAGGGCCATGTCTCCCATTTGCTGCAGGAGGTAAGGGGTGGGGGAGGATTTCTCTCACTGATTCATGTCACTGAAAAGGAGACAAGTGGCAGGGCCAGCTCTCCCATGCTCATACCCTTGGCGCTGACTCACTCGAAACTCCCATAATGTGTGTGTGGGAGGAGCTGCTCTCCCAAATAATGCAGTTGGCTAGGGGCAGGGCCAGCTTTCCCATGATTTCCAGACAAGGGGTGGAGCCAGCTTTGCACAGCCCTCAGACATCAACACGTCCCCAGGCAACAGCCCAGACCAGGGAAGTTCTACTGGCCTTTGGTGGTAACAAACCCTGCTGCTTCAGGGGCCATAAACCCAGATGTGGCCCCCAGAAGCAGCACAGGCCAGGGCCCAGGTGACATCACCAGCCACTCACATTGGGCTGTTCTTCACTACCTTCAACTCTCCAGTTCTGCCTCTCTTCATTGTGCCCACATCCTTCTGTTTCTCTTTCTCTTCCATTTCTCTACTACTTACTTGATCTTCTTAGTGGATCTTCTTAGTGGATCCCAGGATCTCTGAGTGTCTGAGGTCATTTCAGAAGTGTTTTCAGGAGTGCTATGACCCGCCTGATCATTATGGCACCAGGCAAAGGTCATCTCAGTCATGGTTTGCTCCCCCAGGCCTGTGTGTGCATCACTGAACTGGTAGTCATCTCAGGTTAACTTCCTATCTCCCTGTCTGAGTCCCATGGTCCTTGTCCTCCAGGGCTTGCTCCTATCAGGGGCTCATGATCCCAGGCTTGGTTCTTCTAGTCTCTGGCTTGCGCCCTGACCTGGGAGTCCATCTGGGCCTGCTCAGCACCAGATTGGTGGTTAGCTCAGGCTAGCTTCCTTGTCCAGGCCTACTGACACCAGACTGGTGGTTATCTTAGACTCCCCCTTGTTCAGGGAATATTTGGCTACTAATCAATTGAATGTTCACAGGTCAGAAGACTAAGCATAGACATAGCCTTTCACCTCCCTGCCACCTACTGACACACATGTGACACAGCAGGCACACTTGCAAAGCCTCTAGGGGCAGGGTAATACTCATCTTTTAAGAAGAAATTAAAAGTTTCAGACAAGAGTCTTACTGTGTAGCCCTGACTGCTCTGAAATCTGCAGCAGTCCTCCTGACTCAGCTTTCCTGAAAAGAATCATTTTTTAAAAAAAAAATGTTTTTATTTTGTTACATGATGAGTGTTTATCTTAAATGAATGTTTGCATTATATGCAAGTCTGGTACCCCTGGAGGCCAGAAGAGGCATCAGATCCTCTGGAACTGGAGTTACAAATGTTTTTTTGTGAGCTGCATTGTGAATGCTGGGAATCCAACCCAGGTCCTCTATCAGAGCAGTCAGTGCTCTTAACTGCTGAGCCATCCCTCTGGCCCCTATAACCACCTTTTAATAAACCATGAGGGTGACCAGGGTTAGGAGGCAGTGGCAGATGCCAGATGCCCATGGATATTTTTGGCTGCATTCTCACTATCCTCTACCCTAGTCAGAAGGCAGTAGTTTAGTCGTCAGATAGAGAAATATGTGAGTCATTTGAACCTATTGGGTCTTTTAATAATCCACAAAATGAATGACATTTAAGAGCTAAGAGGCTAGTGTTGCAACTAGTCACACCTTCCAGAAAGAAGACAGGCAAGAGTGAACAATGCACTTGGGAGGCTGAGGCTGGAGGACTGTGAGTTCCAGGCCAACCAGGCCTACTCAAGGAAATGCCCTTTTTCACACACACATTTTCTTAAAAAAAAAAAAAAAAACTTATTGTGCATAAACATGTTTGAATATGCATATGACAGCACTTTTGGATTTTTCAGTGTCTTCAGGATATTTTGTTTTACAAAGCAAATACACAGTTTTATTTAGTGCTAACTTATTGGGAATGCTAAGTAATCTGTCCTCGCCTCAGCACACTACATTTGCACACACATCTCTGTACCGTCCTGTGCCTTCCCATTGTCACGGACTCAGAAGAATGCAGACAGTCTGGGCTGAAGACAGAAGGGAGTCAGAGTGGTGAGCAAGAGAGTTTGTATGGATCAAGACGCCCGAGAACAAGCCAGGATAGGAATAGAGCTTGCCAACGGCATTCCTGGCCAGAGCCAAGCAGAAACTACCTAAGAGTCAGAAGCTATAGGACAGGAGGGGTGGATTAAGAAAGGTCAACCCAAGAGTCACTATGAGTCAAGAACTATTAGGAACCCAGAACCCAAATCTTCGAGTCTTCAGTGTATACCCTGGCCATTTTGAGTCGTTCTGTTCCTTCATTTGGTCACTCCTCCCCCAAGCCTTTGACTCATGGGCAATAACATGCTTTTAGAGTCTTCCAGGAAGACTATAAAGCTTCATATTTGATAGAAGGCATGCCAAGAATTTGGGCCTGTATTTTAAAGTGCTAGGGTAGCTTGGATGTTAGCTAATAGCCATGAACTGCTATTAAGTTTTACTCTCCTGGGGTTGCCTTTCATTGAGGAAGCCCAAGCAACATGGAAAAAACCCATCCGATCATTCCAGTCAACAGCCCTAGCCAAGTTCAGTGCTTAGCCAACTCAGCTTATTGAAGACACAAGATACCTCAGCTGTGTGAGTCACTATGTCTCACAGCACAGACGTGGTGCAGAAGCTGTCTCTCCTGTGCTACTCTTGAATTCTCGATCCACAGACTTCAAGAGCATAATAAATATGGCACTGTGTTTCAAGCATTTGCTCCAGAATGACATTCTACCCGTGTTGTTGCAATCTCCATGATACTGTGAGACAGAGAGCATAAGAGAGATGGGGAAAACGGAGCCCTAGAGGGTTGAATCCCAGGCTTACTCAAATCTAATGCTAAGGCTCTTACCCCTTTCAGGGAACCATTGGGAATCTCTCTGATTGAAAGATAGAGTCAGGGTTATGTGTCTGTCTTTCTCCCAAATACTCATTGATTCTTCCATACTGAAATAATGACGTGAAGCACATTGGAATTGAATCATCATTGTGATGAATTGAGAGAATGGAAATTTGGTCTATGATATTTAGACTTGGGGCCTTTAGGGGATAATTTGGACTACATATGGTCACTAGGGTGAGGACTCTACAGTTGAATTCTGGCAGCTCTATAAGATGACAAAGAGAGTCTGAGACATTCGTATGATGCCCTAAGCTGCTTCAGGCATCGGCCTGGAAGATGGCTGTGACCAGATATGACTTCTGGATCAGCACCATTATACCTCTTTTTCTTCTAACTCATCTTGTCTGTGATAGTGTGTTATTAGCAACAGAAAATGGACTATGACAAAGTATTTTATTCTCCTGGGCATTTCTCTTCTTCATTCTAAGGCTTCCCAAAGATGAGAGATACCACTAAGAAATGCCTCTGTTTATAATCTGAAGGGACAGAGTGATTATCTTTTTAATGTTGCTCTTTTGCTAGCTTGAGGTTATAAAATAATAGACTAATCTGTTGACTCGGTTGGTGGTGACCCAGATGGGACAGATATTCTCCTTTCTGCTTTTCTTTTTCTCTCTTTCCTTCTTTTCTTCTTTCCTTCCTTCTCTTCCTTCCTTCCTTCCTTTCTTTCTTTCTTTCTTTCTTTCTTTCTTTCTTTCTTTCTTTCTTTCTTTTCATGAATTCTGATGCTATTTGAAGTTTCTGAACCAGTGACTCCACAGCCTGTCTGTGTGTGTGTGTGGGGGGGGACAGGAAGGTAAGGGCAGCTGTCACATGTTACTTGGTTGGATTCAGTTCATATATCACCCAATTCTCATAGCTACATCCTAAAGAAAACCCTGGACTGGCAAGATGGCTCAGAAAGTAAAGGCTCTTTAACCCTGATGAGCTGAGCTTGACCCATGGGATCCATTTGGTAGGAGAGAACTGACTCTCACCAGTTTTAATGTTGTAGTAGGGACACATGAACACACACACACATACAGACACACACACACACACACAGACAAATATATAAACGTGATGGAAACTTTTTTTTTGAAGAAGCAAACCCCTCACATTGATCTCTTTTAAGCATTTTTATTTTTCAAATTTTAAATATTCTAGCATCTTCTTACTAACATGAGAGCTCTTCAATTCTATGGCTGTAATTTATTTATTTCTATCTATTCTTATTCATGTTACTCACGGATGGCGAAGTAATCCTCATTGAATTCCAGCTCTCTCATGGCTTTGCCTAGGACTTGGTGACATCATTTTAATAAGTATCAAGATCACTTTCATTTTAGGGATTAAGTCTCAGAAGTGGCAAGCCATTTCTGTAGGTGGCAAAGCTCCTAGGTACCAGGAACGAAAGTTGATCAAGTCTCTTCAAACACTGAGATTCTCTTTTTATTTTCTCCTTTCTTTCTTCCTTCCTTCCTTCCTTCCTTTCTTTCTTTCTTTCTTTCTTTCTTTCTTTCTTTCTTTCTTTCTTTCTTTCTTTTGAGGCACTCAGTCTTTATTTGATGTGTTAAATGTTTGAAATAAGTTTATAATATGTTTCTTTTTTTAAATCTATTTTTAGACCAAATCGTAATTTTTACTTATTCATACATGGGTTATAAACACAAAAAAGGCAGGACATGAGGAAGGGGATGACACTGGAGCGTGAGTGTTCAGGGGGATACAGATATCTTTCAGAACAGGGTATTGGCTGGGTGAAGGTTCAGGGGACAGGTCACTATGACTCTGCCTATGATATACTTGTCCTTATCTAAGTTGGTACTATCCGCCAAGACTACCTATTTACAAGGTCTATGACTACTAAGGCTGGTAAATTTCCATAAAAGCTGCCTGTTTACAATAGCTTATAGCCATCTGTTTCAATTTCAATGTTTTTCCACAGAGACCCAAGACTTTGTGTTAGCATACAAGTATGACAGTCCTATTGCTGATTTTAGGCCTACGACTGATTTTAGGCCTTCAGTGTGTAAGCAGGACTGCCCCTGACATCTCCTCCCTTCTCTAAGTATAGAAGGGCTGTGGTGATTCTAATCTTGCGAAGGCGGGGATAGAGGCCTGACTTCCAGTAATTGAAAGGGACCTTGTAATGGCTCCGGTCCCCCTCTTTTTATTTTCTATACCATTAGAAATTTGTAAAATATGAATCACAAATTATCTTAAAGTACTGCATTTAAAAATAGAGAATTTGGCCAGGGTGGTGGCATATTTAATTCTAGCAATTAGGAGGCAGAAGCAGGTGGATCTCTGTGAGCTGGAGGCCAGCCACATTTACACAGTTGGATCTAAGCCAGCCAGCGCTGCAGAGAGACTCTGTCTCAATAAACAGACAAGTAAATAGAACTTAAAGAAAAGTTCAGTTTATCAACAGCTAGTACCCTGCCTGTGCTGAAATCTTGCTTTCTTACCATAATGTCTTCCTAGAATATTCCAACATTAACTTGAAAAGATGGTGGTCATTAAGATTGCCTTCCCTTTCAGTTCAAGCATTTATATTCATAACTTACAAATGACAGAAAAAAGTGTGCTTATTGCAGGGCCTTGGGCATACTAAGCAAGCCTTCTACCATTGAATGTGACCTCAGATTCATAAGTCTGTAGCACAATAGATACAATTTTGATTTGGAATTCTGTGTTAACCAATAACTTGTGTGTGACTGGGATACTTCATTGTTTGTTGGGGGTGGGGGCGTCTACAGGTCTCTAAGATTCTCTTCAACTCAAAGAGAAAAGCGTAATTTCAAGCACACCTCAGTATCCACTCAACAGTTTGCAACCGACCACACATTCTCGTCTCCCAACATGTCTTATATTGACATTCTAATTCTAATGTAATGGTCGTCTGAGGTGAGGAACTGAGGGAGAGAGCATGTCATGAGGGTGGAGCCCTCTCAAGGGTAAACTAAGTGTCATTATGAAGAGGTCTGGGGACCGTCTTTATTACTTCCTACATGTGACAACACAGCAACCACCAAAAAGCCAGGCTTCTCCAACTCCACACCTGTTGGCTTGGCAGTCTTGAACTTCCCCACCCCCAAGAATAATGAAAGATTAACTCTGTTGCTATGTAGCCCACCAATTTGGGTACTTTGTTTCAA